CAAAAAAGAGCGCCTAACTATCCCTACCGCAACTAATATGCGGAGTATCGAGAATGGTGACTTTCATAACAAAACGATCTCAATTTATTTAGATGAGCAAGTGAAACGTGCGTTGCATGGCTGGTGCGTCTACGCATTTTTTCACCTTACATAAAAGTTTTATACATCTAATAAACTAGAATATTTCAATCACTTTTACATGTGCATCCTATTTCGTGGTAACACACGAAATAGGAAGATGGTGTTTAGACTCTTGACACATACCGGATTATGTCTGGCGGGATTGACTCAATGGCATCTACGATGCGTTGCTACAATATCACGATATTAGGAGCTGCTATTTGGGGCAAAATATATTTTATGTGTACCTAAATAAGCATAAGGAGCAATGTCATGTAATGTTCGGGGCCATAGAATTAGGCAGTCTCTGCCCGTATACCTGTTAGGAAAGATTTAAGAAAATTATGAACTTTCAGAGCCTAATGAGTGGTAACGCCATCTAGCAGAAATATAGCAATTTTTTGCATGTCCTGTTGCTGGGAAACTGTATACTTCATCAGTGTATATAGATAAACATATCTGCTTGTGTTACTTTTAAGAAATGCAGTTGATCAATGATTTATTCACACATCAGCCCACACAACTTTTTCATTAATCTATACCACAAATGCACAGAAACGTTATGTATTTTCTGCGGACCTGTAATAAAAACACAATTTCATGATAAGTATAACCACCGTCTCCTAATGTTTTTTTTCTGGTCATGAAACTCCCACGAAAATCTCATATGGGGACAAAAGTGGCCACCATGCGCGCCATCGTAACCAGGAGGGCAACGATCGGCCGCGCTTGGCAGGGCTGTAGCGCGTTCACGGAAGCGTTTCCCATCAAATACACTTCTTCAGATATTTGCGTTTTCAGCGCTCTCACTAACGAATCACAGCAGCTATTATATCGTCAAAGGGGCCCATAATTCACTTGTCAAACTGCCTAAGTCCTTGATTGCTGACACTGTTTTAACCGAGTCCGTCTGTCTAGTGACGCACATTCTATGCGTTCCTCAATTTCTCAATTCTCAATTTCGGGCTTAAACTGAACACTGTGACTGTTTCTAGATGACTGAAAGGTTAACATAGTTGCGCTAGATATTGCAGAGCAGCCATGCTCTGGTTCCACGTAATGTTCGTTTTCAGAATAATTGTCACTTTATTCTATAGGGCATCACGAAGCAGCCAATAGAAGTTCCCGTGCCAATAAACAAATCTGTATATCAGGGTCACTTGGCATTAATATCCTTCAAGTACCTCTTGAGGGCTATCATTCGTGGTATATCAAAAAAATTAAAAGGTCGGAATGAGACACCACAAGACGGAAAGGGATGCTCAACTTGTGTTCTTGTTTTATTGGGTGTAATAATTTGCGCTCTTGATTTTAAAGATTAAAAATATGAGATGAAACTGTTGTGACGTGTTATAAATATAGGCACTACGTACTATTTAGAAACGAAAGATTTTGATTTTATGCATGCGGATTTCATAATACAGCCGAGTTTTGATATACGCAGCTTTTGTTTTTTATCCATTGCCGTGTACTCTCCCAATGATCACTTCTAAGTCCACGTTCTAATTAGCCACCCTGTTCCTCCTAGGCGCACATATAAATCAACCAGGATCTTCCTTCAACCCTGTTGTTCAGTTTAAACGAATCAGTTGTACTTGACAGTATACATTGCTCTTTGTGAATGTTTCCAGAAGTTTTCTTTATGCATTTCGATATCCCATTCAATCCAACTTTAGCTTTTTATGTGCGAAATATTTATGCTTGACGGAAAAAAATTTGTGCGCCAGTGGGTAACATTTTGAATTTAGCAACTATCTTACGCCTTGCAAGCAAATATAGGCAAACATGTCGGAATTTTTTTTGCTGAAATTACCGGCACTCGTCGAGAATTCCAAACTGTCATGAGCACAGGCACAAAGTTTATTCAAATCTGCATTTCATAAACTGTGGTTGAAAGTTGGGACATCTATTGAACAACACAACAAAAATCACTGAAAAAAGTTTCCTCTGGTATAATTGAAGCTGTTGCTTCACGCTGCGAAGTTCGGCCTTCACTGTCGGCAGCTCCGATGATGATAAAACGGTGACCTCTGTTTGACACTCTGCGTCTGCGCAGCCCTTGCGATACTCAGTTTTCGCAACATCTGCAAAGGGTGAAAAAAGGCTAAATTGATAAGGTAAGGAACCAATTTGGTTAGCGTAGGGAGCGGATAGGATACTTGCAAGCTTTGTGCCCGACTTACTATCGATTTCTTCGTCGCCTGCACTGAATACGTCTGCATTCGCGAGTGTCACATCACAATCCGAAGAAAGCTCTAACGGCCTTTGCGAGGTGGGCGCTTCGTTGCACGTGCACGCTGTTTTGGTTTAGAGAGGTAAGAAGGCAAGCCTTCGAAAAACCTTGGTACGGCGTCTTCCACCAGTCTCTGTCGTTCTCGGGGCAGCGAAACGATGATTCCGCTCACTGTGCACACATCCGCACGTACAATGTCACTGGCGGCGAAATGTTTTTCACATACGCAGGCGTTCTTTGAGTCGAACAAAAATCCGGCAGTTTCCACTTATCACGTTCTTCTGCCTTGACTGGGAAGCGCAGATGGCCGAACCGGCTTCCTCCCCTTTCTATCTACGCCAGCGCTGTGGCGTGGAAAGTATGGGTGGTGTATGAAGCTCTCCCGTTGAGTGACGCTGGAGTTCATGAAGAGATAAATGTATTGAAGGAACATGGTATAACTAATTATTTCATCTTGAAAGCAGGGTAAACTTTGGTTGACACACTGCTCTGTACGATTTAAGGCCCAAACTTCTATTTTAAAGGAAGTCTTCGTATGACATTTCTTCAAGACAACTTCATCGAGAGAGTTGGTACTAATATTTATAGGCATGGTGAATTTTCTGCGCTGACAAAAACGGAAAAAGAGAAAGCACGAACAATTTCCGATACGCAGAGCCACCGCGGAGACAGTGCAATAGACAATCACGCTTGGTCATGTGGTCACAGGTCACATGATAGTCGTTACCGAGTTTGGTGCATTTCATGGCCAGAAGAGGAATTGATACCACGTGTTAGCACGTTACTCTGTATTCTGAACAGTAACAGATTTGCGTTATTAGTTTGAGGCCTTCGAGATGTATCAGATTCACACTTATTCCAAGGTGCCTGAAGTATTTCCCTCAATAGGCGGTAAACAAAAAATCAAAGCATATAATATTACAGAATAAGCATCTGTGCAAGCTCACACAAAGCACACATAAACTCACACACGTTTTGAGTACCTGCATTCAACCAAGCCCAACTTTGCGGTGGAAGAGTACTCACTACATGCATAAGCTTTTTATTAAAAAAAAGATTTTGACCTTGCATACCACGAGCTTGGTGTTCATCGAGCGCACACTATAGCACGCCGATAAGTTTATGTTGACCTCGCCACATAAACGTTTGATGCGTAGAATTTTCCGCATTCACAAATTTAGAGTCTAACGGGGCTTGGCGAGGTGTATAGACTCTCTTGATTTCATCCTCGACGACCATATCCCTCAAAAATATAATTTCTAGTTGATTCATAAATCAATTACCGAGCACGCCAGCGATTCCAAGTTTTTAGAGAAATTGGGGCATAACGACCACTGAGATTTGTGCAATCTTTAGCTGTTTGTCCACTGAGGTGGTGTAGCTGTGTTATGGTTCTCGGCTGCTGAACCAAAGGCCGCAGGTTTGATCCCGGACACAGCGATTGGATTTCAATGCAGGTGAGGCGCTATCGACCTGTCTACTGTGCTACGTCAGTGCTCGTGAAGTGCTCAAATTGTCCGGAACTGTCCACTACGGCGTACCTTATAATTGCATCCTGGTTTTGTCATTTATTAACTCGGACAATATCATTATTGTTGGATCTTCTTACGGAGGGTGCAACTGCAATATTTACCGTGACCCAGAACTCTGTGTGCCGAGAAAAAGAAAACGCTGTTTTTTTTTTCGGTACAGCTTTGTTCATGACATAAGTGGTGTGCAGCAAACGAGTTGTTATGCAGAGGTATCACTGAACTGTGCGAAATGTTCTATCTCTTGTTGTGCGTTTCTGGAGTACGTGTTTCAGATGGCAATGCTATACGCATCCCTACCGCGTTGTCATGACAGCCTTTGCAACGTACGCCAAGACAGAGGAAGAAACGACGCCAGCTGCCATGCATCACTGATAGCAAACATCAAGATCTAGTGCTTTCGGGAATGCGCTGGCCGAAGTAGTACGCTGAATGACCCTGGGTGTGGTGAGAGGTCGAAGTAGAAGCACGAAAAATGATGTTATTTTAGCACATGTGTGCTCTTGTTGGCACGTTCCGGCGTTCCTGCCTATGACTGACATCACCCGCTGGAAATATTGCAGAGTGAGGACATGACACCGCTGTACCTTCACAACACTGCGGGTATACAGACGAGTGCCGAGGAACAATTTTGTCCTGTTAACTTGTGCTGGCAAATTATCAGCAGGTGAGCTATTATTAAGACCACTTCATTGAAAAAACTCCAAGAATTTCCCCGAGGGTGAACATGGTTAAGTGCGAATGCACGGGGTGATGCTATGAGGGGTATTTATTATTTCGCACTATTATATTTGTTAATCACACTATGGTGCCTTTATGATGTAATGGTTCCTGGGAACCGCAATTTGATCACACGGGGGAGTTTACGTTAACTCACTGGCGAATGCCAACGGATTTTAACTTTACTCCCCCTCATAGCATCACCCCGTGCATTCGCACTTAACCATGCTCACCCTCGGGGAAATGCCTGGGAGTTTTATTACTGAAGATGATGATTAAAGTGTAATTATTGAATTTAAGTGTTGTTTGTCATGAAGCATTTGTACACAGATGCTAGGTCGCGGTCCAGCACCTCCTCCAGGAAGTTCTTACCGCCACTCTCGAGCTGCTCGCGCGTGATGGAACCAGTGGTCTCGTTGGTGCGAAACCTCATGTTGCTTTCCGCAACGTTGTACCGCATCACCTTCGCGGTCATGTACAAGACGTGCCCCGGCGTTGCTCCACGCCGGTCGGTGCGCCGTATCTCACTGCTGGCCATGGCGAATGGCGTGGAACGCGGACCGATGATCTTGCGAGGCACGCCCATGTATATCGTGGGGAAGGCGAGCTCTTCCGCATACGCATCCATGAAAAGCGCCAGTGGGACGCGGTTCTCACCCGGAGCGAGGGAGCGAGGAGAGCGTAGGATCGAGCGAAGGGGAAGGGGGTATAAGGCGCGTTACTGACACCGATATCAGCGTCGCGTCCGTGGCTTATTCGGTAGAGCGTCGCGCTGCGGCCCGCCAAGTCCTCTTTCTTTTAAAGATAGAGAGAAGACTGCGGACGCCGCCGATGGCGGTGGATGGTTTGGGGTCGCTTATAAAGTGTATTCACACTTAAAAAATTAGGGGACCCTAAAGCTTCGCCTTTAGGAATTGGAGGCGACAGCGACATGCTGTTCTTAGTGCGTACTTCACTTCGTGCATGAATTATGTTTGAATTTGCTATGCGCCCACTACGTGGCCTTAAGGGAATAAAAGCAGTCGTGTGAGGGCCTTTTGTAATGGGGTACCGGCTTCCAATCACAGAGCCATTAGGATAATCACATATTGCAACGCCGGTTGGCAATGGATGCTTTACCACGCATTATTACCGCAATATTTCATGTTGGGTTGTGAAGCATATATACAGAACGTGTGTGCTTGTGAAGCATGAAAGCTACTTGCACTGCATTTCCAAGCAGAGGAAGTTCTTTTTGACTATTTTCCCAAGCAGAGGCGTGACCGTGTTGTAGAACATTCACTTGCCAAAAAAAAAAATGACCAGGATTCAATCCCCACTTAAACCCTAACAAACCTGGTTTGCGCCCAACTCTGCTCAAGGGTTTTGATCATTTATTTATTTTATTTGCATCGTTCTCTATTTTTTGGTCACGCATAATATGATGATTTTTCACTCACAACCAACGACGCCAACGCAGATATCGAAGACGACACTTGAGTTTCTGCGAAACGAGCTCTTTAACGTTATCCTGTTAAAAAGTTTTACGTTGGCTCTTAATATAAATGCAGCTTGTGCCTCAATATATTTTTTTTAGGTTCTTACCTCAATTGCTTTTTTTTCTGTGTGTGCATTGCTATGGTTCAACATTTAGCCTGAAGGCATGGTCACACCTGACAACATTATTGGTTACATGCTTCTGTCATTAGTGCCACTCCTGTATTTTTGAGTCGTGTCTGAGCACAGTACACAAAAAAGGCCACAGTAAAAGGACTTAATAAGCAAACCGAGTAGAGCAAGCCGTATACTAATTACTAAGCTGTGGTTAGTCGATTGGGTTCCCAATTTTCTGATGTGTTACTATGCTACCTTCTGAAAGAAACGGGATAAGCAGAGCAATAGGTCTTTATGATACGGCGCCTGGCGTGTATTCTCCAACTATTCGCGTTAAGAAGTGTTTATCTTGGATAGGTTGTTACACGACGCGTATATATATAAAAGAAACACAAGAGCTAGATCAAACTCTGTGGATTTCCCTTTAGTACATTTTTCGCTAGATTTGACATACGTTTTACATAATATTTCAACAGATATACACTCCCAGTAAGCGTCAAATACTTGATGCTTGACGCCGACTGAGAATTCATCGCCCAAAAAAAACACATTTTGTTAGAGTGCATTATTGCCGGTGGGCAACGGTCTGGGTACCAAATGCGTGAATAACCGTACACGTTACCCAACCGTTGCCCCTTATAATGCAAACTGAGTGACATAAAGTGTATAAAGAAATGTAAACTTATTTAGCCTTTCAGTCGTCTTATAAAATTCAAGGAAGATTCAGAAAATATATCTTAAGTGGAGGATGTGCCTCGAAAGTGAATCCGAAAACTCGCCATTTTAGCGGTGGCAAGACACCATTCTGACAAGGGTGATTTGTTGAAACATATAGTGCTCGACGTGTGTACAACATGTGTTACAGGTTTCCTTGAGAAGCCTTAACATCTAGGCTAATTTTCAGCAGAGATCAACTCATCAATACTCTGGTCGAAAGGTTGTTTTTGCTGGAAACAGAAATCACTGACTACGTTAAAGCCTATCGTAAAACCTCTTTTTTATGTCTGATATGTTTTGATCATAGCAATGGCTCCGCAGTGTGATCACAATGCAAGGCAAGGCTAGGGGTTAAGGAGTTTCACACATAAAGGACACTATAGCAGTGCTAATTTCATTTCTTATTTTTCATTATTGGACTAGTCAGACACTATTTTCATGATTTTTGGTAGATATCACTTATATAAGCATCCATCTCCATTTCCGTTGCGTCCTGCACGTAGTCCGAATCGATAACACCACCCCGCACGTTGTATATCCTAAGCGTAAGTGATAGTTTGCGAGGGCGGCCGACGGGCGTGACTGAAGCATAGACGAAGCGAGTCGTCAAGGGAAAGAAGAAACTGAATTTATATGGCTTTCTTTTTTTTGACAAAACATTAATCAGAGCCACCAAATAATAAAGCAAAAGAATTTATGAAGCATAATATTTGTAGTGTTTTAAGCTTATCGTGCTGGTTAAGACATGTGTGAGAAGAAAACAAAGTGTACGAAAAGACAACTGCCCGCCAGAAGGCACCAAACATGCAACCTACAGGTTCAAGTGTTGTGGCTTGCTACCCTTTATCCTGTGCGTGGTGCCAAACTGGGCACAATCTGGATGATCTCCCTACCTTCTTTTAGCCTTTCTCTCTCCCTCTCTACTTAGGCACTGATTTTTATTAAAGAAGCACTAAAGGCAAATAGTACGATGGCGTCGATTATTGAATTAGGGGTCCAAAAACCCCGTAAGTGCTTGTTTTGGGTCAAGAAACTGTTATTTTGAAAAGAAACAGCGAAGAACAGACCCGTTCCACTAACTGTGAACCTGTCGGACTGTAAGTCGGCAATGCAACAACTTTCTCGAGTGACTCTCACAAACAAGTTCTGCCGCCAGTCGCTATAGCATTAGTGAAAGATGCTACCAGAAAAAGCGTGACAGGAGATACCTTCACATATTGATGTCAGCGGCAACGAAAGAGCAGATGCTCTAACAAAGCACTTTCAAGACAACCAACAATCAAAACTCCTATCAACCAACAACTACCCAAAAAGACAATTCGATATCAATTCCGCTCTATGGAATTTGCCCCATCAGCCTTGTGTCCCAACAGGCCTTAGTCGGGTCTGTTGAAACACAAGCCTCGGCGCTTTCTCTCCCCTGCGCTATGAATGTAATGAAGTCGTGAATATTCAGTCCTCTCTCTGGTCTTCCAGGGTTCCGCTGCGGATGCTGTGAAGACATTGTGTTTCCGGCAGGTGTGTGAGTGAGGCGAAAGTATGTTACTAACATACTCAATCACTTTCTGTGAGAGACCGGATTAAGCGACGAACTAACTACATGGAAAGGATCACTCAGCAAGAGCAATTGCTGGCCAGGCCTGCCAGACTAGCCACGCCTGCAGCAACATCCCCGTCACCGCGTTTTAGTGGACCGTACAACGTTAGCACTTCAAATTCCGACGTAACAGGTGCCTTGCTCAGCGTTGCTCAATTTTACTGCCCGGCAGCAGACGCTGCGGTTTCTTGCGCATACACAAGAATAGCCACCTTCAGCCGTTCCAAGGTGATTTTGGTACGCCTAGCACAAAAAAGTTATTCTAAAGCAAAACTTCTGGAGTGGTGGTCCCGCATGTATCGAAGCGAAGCCGTGGTGGTCATATTGCTCAGGGCAAAAAGAGGAGGCGCCTACCTTGTAGGGCCGTAATGCTGTGGGCGCTTGCGGCCATTCATTTTGTTATAGCTACTAAAGCACCTGGTTATTATTCTTAGGCGGCGAGGGCACGTGGGAGCGACTTAAATGCACATATGCTTTATTTTTTGTTGACACTTAGCGCTTTGAGCGTGTTGAAAAAACGCCAGGCCTGGCCGAAACGCGCAGCACAGTCACAGCGAAAGCTAGAAGAGTGGCCTTTCAGAGCCTCGTCTGAACGCTCTTTGGAATGCTGCAAGCACACTCCTGGGTACCCACAGCACCATAAATAATAATAAATATTCTGTAGTAGGCCAGCATTCACTATATTATCCTTCATTATTCTTTAGTGTGTGCGCGGTATCCGCTACGGTCGTTGGAAAGACTGCAATTTTTTTAATGCAGTGGCTGACGACAACGCAGAAATATGCCTGAAGTGGGTACGCGACACAGTAATAGATGATCAATAACAATCTTTCTGATGGTATGAGGCATTGGACGACCCAGTTGTTACGCAATTCACATTGTGTGACACCGGGCTGTTACTTTGTTGTTCTAAAATGCTTTACTGCTCATATTAACGCAATTTCTTTCCCGACATCAAGCCTGCCTAAGGCCAGTTTAGAAAAAAGGTACAAGCACCAGAAAGGGGAAAAAGGCGTTCCTTAGTGGCAGAATACTGGGCAGGCACGCAGCGGCACCCCGGTTAGAATCCAATTGTGTCAGTGTTTTTCACTTACCTGACTTTTTTTGTCGTTCGATACTGGTTACGGGCGGCGGCGGACAACTACGGTGCCGCGCGTGACCCGTGTTTTGATCTCATAACAACACTCGCTGTCAAAAAAAAGAGGGGTACTCAGGGATATCATTTCGCATTATATGTTTACACAGTTGCCTTACAGCAGAAGCAACCAGTGAGGACATGCAGTGAAAATGAAAGTTTCACTCGCACACAACCATAAGCCTTTGGCGAATAACACTGGAGCGTGTCTGCAAACTCATTTAGGGGCGAAGCGGCTTAGGGCATGGGTCTGTCGCTCCTACGTATGTATGGAGTAGTACGTAGACACCGGGGGCACATACCCACTCTAGAGTGGGTATGTGCAACTACGGCGCCGCGCGTGACCCGTGTTTTGATCTCATAACAACACTCGCTGTCAAAAAAGAGGGGTACTCAGGGATATCATTTCGCATTATATGTTTACACAGTTGCCTTACAGCAGAAGCAACCAGTGAGGACATGCAGTGAAAATGAAAGTTTCACTCGCACACAACCATAAGCCTTTGGCGAATAACACTGGAGCGTGTCTGCAAACTCATTTAGGGGCGAAGCGGCTTAGGGCATGGGTCTGTCGCTCCTACGTATGTATGGAGTAGTACGTAGACACCGGGGGCACATACCCACTCTAGAGTGGGTATG